TCATTCGTCGTCTCAGATGGTTCTGTAATCGTTCGTGCTGTGGCGAAACTGGGCGCAAATGTGTGGCAGATGCTGGCATCAGCGTTCTACTCCTTCGACTGCATAGACGCTGCACCGGGCTCAAACCGATATTCGTTGAAACCGTATTGCGATTCACCAGTAGCATGAGGTACGGGTCCTTGCCAGTTGCTTTAGGCTTTGATAACAGTCGCTTGGCCTGCTTCACAGCCGACTCCGCCTTTCCATTCGATTGACTGTGATATGGGCTGGTTTGCTGGTGCACGGATTCCCACTTGGTTGTGAACGCCTAGAAGGCACCGCTGGTAAATTGGGACGCATTGTCGTAGACCAGCTCCTTAGGTATGTCGTGCCGCGCGAACTGACATCAGAGATTATTGCTTACTGCCTCTGTGGTCGTAGTGGTGAGTAGATCGATAACAAAAAATAATAAGTAATCTTTACCGTTATCACTGAATAAATCCACCGCCCACTTCTTCCATGTTCGATCACGGATATCATGCAGCATTTTTGATACTCTTGTCTGCCGGATTTCGTGTGAAAGACAGGCCTCAATAGTTGACCCGTCATTCCTGACCAAAAAAGCAATTCTCTTGCTCCGTTACTGGTATACTTGGCACCTAGGTGAGCACGAAGAACGTATTTCAGCATTTCTCGGAGCGATGACGGCAGAAGTAGACCGCTCCCCTTTAACAGCAAACGATAATAGACAGCGGGTTCATCTCAAAAATGGTAGTAGGGTGTTAGTTCCTTTGATAGCTGCCTCTTTGTATCTGGCCACCCATCTAGAATAACGTCTCACGAAGCCGAAATCGTTGCATCTTCCTTTATGTGGCGCCTTATTTCATTTAGTCGATCTTCTGTCACTGCCAGGTGCTGTACTAAGTTTACTGCTTTGAACCCTTTCGGATTATGCTTGGGTACCAGCAGATGAGCTCTTGACAGTGTATCCGCGATGAACATCTGTGCACCAGATAGATACACGATATCCACGTCGTACTTTTGAAGTCGGATAAGCATTCGCTGAATACGACGAGGAACGACGTGCAGCGGTTTGCTGGCTATTGACACAAGCATCTTGTGGTCGGTATACAAGCTTGCCATTCTTCCGAAAGTATAATCGTTGAAACGCTCCATGGAATAGACTACCGCAAGCGTCTCGTTCGCTATCTGCGCATAGCGCTGCTCAGGCATAGTGAGTGCTCGGCTGCGGAAATCCAGAAATTGTTCCATTCTGAAAGAGAACAGCATATATTCTTTCTTGGCTACTGTCACACTGTACCTCCAAAGGCTGAGCTGGATCGTAATATCCGAGAATAAGCGCGTTGCTGATGAGGTGCTTAATAATTTCGAATGCGCTTACCTGTTCTTCTCCCCAACTCCACATTACTCCTTCGTAAGTTAACTTCCTGGTCAACCTCATGATATCAGGGAGTCTTGAAATAAAACGGCTCAAATGATTCACTATATTGTTTAAGCAATAGATTCCCTTAACATCATTAAAAGGCGGCATCTCTCGAATTGCCTTACTTTTTCCTGGATCGAACCTGACCCCATGTGTTGTTAGCAAATGCCAATAGAAAAATCTCCTTGACTTAACGAAGTTCAAAATTTTTCAAGTTTAAGCTTGAGGTCCTTTTGCACACTACGCTCTAAGAAATGGTGGAGATTGGCGTCATCCTTATTTTCTGTCAAGCCATAGATCAAAACATCGTCTGCCACGCAAGTTACACCATCTAAATGTTCTACCGCTTACACCAATCGGTTTTGAAAAATTACACTCGAAATCTTCAGATCTAACGGTAAACGCAGCGAAGGATAACGCCGGAAGCGTGTTGCAAAGGTAGTAAGGAAGGTGAATTCCTCATCTAAAACCACGTGCCAGAATTCCGAATAAAGGTTTAATTCCGTGAAACCCTTAGCTTCAACCAAACGCAGCAAAATATCTTCTAGGTGATAGCGGGTATTGCTCTCTACGCAAGGCATCTTTAAAAGGCCCGGGTCAATACACACACAGTTCGCCTAGCTTCTTCATAATGATTGTTAACTGACTAATCCAGTCAATTAGCTTTTCGAATTTGGCAATCACACCCACTTAATAATTTGCTCAATTCAGCGGAGAACCTGTCACGCAATGCTAATGGAACTCTCCTAGCTCCTAGCGATCTCGGTCGTATCAAAGGATTTAAAGACACGTGAGCGGTTCTCTCAAACTTACCGAAAACTGGGCTAAACACAAACGGATACTGGTCACTAATATCGATTTCTTCCTGGCAAACATTCACAACACGATCACGATTAAATGCAACAAAACCGAGAGACTGGTTCGAATCAATGCAGAGAATCGGCGTGAGCTCTTCCTCCACTATTATAAACTCCAGTTGATGTGAGGCTCCATCTCTTGGGTTAACGACTTCGATTGTAGCTGAACCCTTCAGATGAATTTTGGAACTATTCCACATACGCAGATTATCTTGATCGGGTCGAATGCACATCCGGGACAGTACTTCCCTGGTAGAATCTTGACAGTCGCACCTGTGCCTAATTGGAGTCGTACGACTTTGCCTTCGATCAAATGACTTGCATAGATACCTTTTGACAGTACCCTCCGAGACGCGTTGCCAACTGAATTTTCAGAATCTGCGGGGGAATTGTCAAGAACGATCACACTCACATTGGTTGATAGGCACCAACGAGCAAAATGGTTCCTTCTTCCACATCTGACGCATTTCCGTCCCCACGCCAGACGCTGTTCTCGGTTGCTCGAATGTCGCGTGGCGCAAAATTTGCAGATCTTCTGTCTCACGGTAATAGCATTCGCTTATTCGCCTCCGGAAACGGCACACAATACTGCACCTTTTGCGAGCTTTATTTGTTGGTATTGATGGGTGGTTGAGGAATCAATGTTGCAGATATCAGTGCACTGCTGGAACGATAAGTTGCGTTGTCGCAAAAGCTGCTTTGTTGCACTTTCATGATTGTTTCTCAGAACCATGCAATCATGAATGACACTATCGGCCAAACATGTAGAAATATTACAGGTCGGGCCAAAATCTTCAATTCAGCGATGTACGCATCAACTGATTCATTTGGGCCTCTGTCGCGCGAAAACTACAGACAGCGCTGGTAGGTCTCGTTGGTTTGCCTTTCACAAAATTTACTGAATTTTCCAATGTCCGTCTCCAAATTTTTGGGATGGTTGCAATTTTCGCAGTGCAATGTCTCCAGAACTCGGCGTGCGTCATGGCCGACTGAGTGTCAAAACATGGCCAAACGATACGCAATCGGTTGTTCGTCCAAACCTACTAAGTTGCAAAAATCCTCTCACTTGCCCTTCTATAGGCGCCAAATATTCGTCAAGTTCCCTTCTTCCATGTTCAGTGAAGCAAGCATTTGAATAGATGGGGGGTGATCTAAACATCATCTACGCGCCGCCGGTGGGGTTGGTCCGTGTTTTCTCTGACACCATGTTGCAGAATTCAGTCCTTCAGGGAAAAGCGTTTACTCGGCAAAGACAGTGAAGCGAAAGTACAGCATGTCTATTAAACCAAACTCCGCGATATAAATTGCATGTTCAAGTTCATAGCTAACAACCCTTCTGAGTCGATGAGATTCCTCCTTTGCTTCAGTTAAACAAATGTTGAATCACTCACACGAATATCGTCTAATCAGAGTCCAGTAATCGAATCTGGCCAGCCCGCCTCCCATTGGCTTTTTAGCTCGCTCGGTTGGTTTACCTGCTCACTCTGATCTCAGGATACCATCACAATTTCCCCCTCACTTTTGCGGCGGAGTACGTTCTAGTGAACAGATGTTTACTCTCTGTCTTGCTACCAATCAAGGAAGCAAATTTGTGGATTCATATATTCGATCTTTGCCACTAGTTCCTTGTCGTTTAGCGATTTTCAATACTAATCCCTGTCAACGGCAACGTAAGCATACTGCGCATAACCATAGATAATATGACATTTTATTGCATAGCTTGAACTGGTTATACTGTGAGTTTTAGAAAAGTAATCTGAATCTTCTTCGAGGTAAATGGAACAGTGTATCCATGTTCGTGTATTTTCTGGCATACTACTATTACTACTGCTGCTACTACTACTACTAATATTGCTATTTATATTTTGCATCTTCATACTGATGGTCACTAAAACCCATTAAATTACAAGCCTGCTGATTTATTCCTTTCAGGGAAATATTGGAGCGAGCGTGGCTGCCTGTGTCACCCGTCTCAGTGAAATCGCTTTGTTCTTGATGTAGAAACAACCTTTTCACTATTGCGGTACATCACAGCGCTCGCAGACCAGGTTTAAACGGTTTAGTAGGTTCCTCAAAATTCACTCGGAAGTCTAAACAAGTCACATGGTTAAGAACAGACACAGAATATCTGATAGCGACTTAATTAGGCGACGACAGATATGGTTGATGGCTCATCGTATAGATCTCAGGTGTGTCCGTTAGTTGAAACCAAATATTTTTCTAGCGAAAGAGTTATTCGGAACATTGCTTGCGTGTGTTTCTGCGAGATGTTTTCCTTCTAAAATCTGATCCAAAACTGATCAAAAGAGTTAGTGCCCTAAGTAACGCAGGTTTTGCTGCATCGAATGAGTTTTAGCACGTGAGTAACGAGAACCGTGACAGCAAATATGAACTATTTACACGTCTATGTAAAATTTGCCTGCACGGCTGTGGGGATTATTGTAAGCAAATGATAACTCGATACATATTTAACTTGGAGTGATCACTTATCTTACATGTACTGTACGCCAAATATGCCATTTTCCGTGAGAAATGCTTTTCCACGTATACCAGTAATAATCTCATTGGGTCACTTCGCTATATTATCTCAATTCCAGCTGGGATAGCATGCTTAAATTAAACCTAAATCGTAAATTACAAGTAATATTCGGACAAATATATGAATTTGTTATGAATATTGTATTTAGGGGTTACACGTAAAAATAAGTTGCTCAACCTACCTTTTATTCCGTATCCAGCTAGAAATATGAGCATCAACGCAATAGGTACTCCCAGCAGATATTGGCTGCAAACGCACGTGATCGCACCGATAAATTGTAAACCTGCTCCACGAATCGCTCCCATGCATACACACTGAGTAAATCAAACGTAAGGAAGCATGGCATCAAATTTAATTTTGGTGTTCTAGGCGATTTGCACCCACGTGCTACTCAAGCAAAGAGTCTGATGTAACATCAACCATCCATGGAAAATGGTATTTACAATGTTAGAAGATATTTTACACCTCATAGAACGATATGAACTGACTGAAGCAGCTGAAGTATTGCATCCTATGCGTAGAGCTTTGTTCTTTAACGCCAAATGATGCGTCTTGATTTCAGTACGTCAGGTAGCAACTATTTCATTTATCATGGTCGGACATGAATATGATAAGGTTTTCGAGAATACATAATTGTGATTGTGCTATTCACTTAGTTTAAGCTCCTTAGTGAAAAGTTATCCAACATATTTACATAGTGTGACAACCGACAGACCAGAGCAATAGGGGAGGAGACGTCGAGAGAAGAGTTGGCGTAGCACGGATGAAGTACTTTGTACGACAAAATCCCTGCGAGACGTTCAAGACAATGAACCCAGTCGTTACAAAAGCCAATGAAACCCGTTGACATAGGACACCCGATTGCGTGAATCGGTGGTCTATAAGTTGCAAATGTCACAAAAAGCACAGGAATTTCTTCGGAATCTATTTTGTTAGTTACTAGACTTCAGAATTTAGGCAAAATGTCGCCAATTTCTTATATCTTACCCAAAGTTTGCGCAGGGAAATCATTGAAATTTCATTCTATATCTTTTTTACGATATTATTTCTTAACATATTCCAGGGTTAGCTACAAACTTGCCAATCGAGATCAAGGTAGCTTCAACTTCAATGACAACATAAGCACCAAGGAGAAGGAGCAACGCACCGATGTTCCGTCAAAAATTTGGAAGACGGCGATTATGGGAAACAAATGGGCGGTCAGTTCGATAACGTCACTACAAAGAAATAAACAATGGATTACATACAGTGTGTTATTACAACTTATTGTGGTAAACCGTAAACCAACAGCATGGTATCAAGACACTGATAAACGCAGTTGCAGCCTAACCTGTCTGAGGTGAATGCTTTCGGTAGTTGCCATCTCAGTAAGAAAACACCCATCGCCAACGTTGAGGTCAGGAGCCCTACGGAAACCAAGTGCTCATTGGAACAAAATGGTTGACTTACAAACCGTTACTAATGCGACGGATAGGACCGATTTTGGACCAACGGAAGATCCAGCACCGAGAAATTGGCCAACACGAATATTTGTGGCAATTCCAAAACCTAGCGGTACCTGCACAACAAAGAAGAAACACGTAAATACTGATTAATAACGGGTTAAACTGAGCGCAAATGGATTGTTTTGCTACGCACATACATAACAAATTAACTCAAGCTTGTGAACTTTTTCGCTTAGAGGCTATGTAGGGCATGTTACGTAATACAATTTATTCCATTATTTTTTGTCAAAATTATATGCCATTATTGTTTATTATGACATTGGAAGGCTTGTTTAACCCATCTTTATGAACTGCTGTGCAGTATCGTTAAATACATGAGGTTGCCTGGTATAAACATACATAACTTTCGCGCAATGTAAATTATTATGAATTTGATACAAATTGCGATGTCACTATTATGCTATTTATGGCATGACATTTTACATGCAAATTTGCATACAGCAAGTGTTTGTTATCCAGATGTTTTTAGGGCACAATTTACAACTCGTGTCATGTATTCCGCCACGAGACAGATAAAGTAGTTGATCAAACATTCCAAATTTATCAAAACGATAGTGTGGATTTTTATCTAAATTACAAGTGTCACCGTGGGATATCACGATAGACGATGCATCCTTTGATGGATACGAGCACTATGTTTACCACGCGTTTCCTATCGGTACCTAAATTAGCCACTATGCCTCGAAAACGGATACCTACGTTCAATACGAATACTAAATTTATAAAATTGATAATCTGCGTTCTAATTACCGCCTATGAAATAGAGAAGATTAATGCACTACTGACTAATCAACGAAGTCTACGTGACTGTGGTACAGGCAAGAAAACGGATTAACGCACAAAAGGCTGCTTTAAAATGGTCGTATTTTGTGGCCTAAAATAAATAAGAAAGTCATTAAAACGAATTTTGACTACTTGCAATCGACCGAAGAATGTTTGCTAAAGATTGGTTAAGTAACAATTCAGAACTTACTAGCATAACAAGTAACATCTCAGTGTTGAAAAGTATTGTCTGTGCGGATAATTGCTGTTGACTGAGTGTTCCTGGATCAAGCGGATAAGCGAAATAACTTTGCGGTTCAGCAAAGGACAGAGTGATGCTTATTTAGGTGAGATAAGTAAATTCGATAAAAGGATCATGAAACCAGTAGAGCAACAAATGATATTAATGCAAATGTGCTTCCAGTTCCTTTAAGTTTCGCGTGTGAATATTTGTCTGCAGTGCACGCATGGAACAGGCAAACTAGTTATGACTGTTGGAACAATGGATTTATCAAGAATCTAAAAGCAAATGCTCAACCGTTTTCTGTAGCTAAATGACGAGAACGAAATCGCATAATTCAACGCAGAAACACGTGGTGGTTGACCTACCGCAAAGTGTAAATGCACACATATTTTATTTAGCTGTCGCTGAAGCATCTACTGGAGAAGCGTCAAGCTTTGAATTCGGACAACGTAGGAACTGCTATGACTAAATGGTATTAAATTCCATGGCTGGGACATATGAAATGAGGCTACGTTCGGGCAAATTTCTAAGCGGCTATACTGTATCGCCAAATACAAACCTTGGCCTCTTTTTGAAGTACTGTGTCTGAGTTACTATAAGGGTCGGTATGGGTAATAAGAGCACTTGGGGAACCGATATATAAAAATGAGATAACCTGGCAAAAGACAGCATGTTCACTACAAATTCCTAGTCTTTAGCCGCAACTAATAATTTAGATGGAGCAATCCCTTCATATTTTGGGGCCCTGCGTTGCAGAAACGTATGATCAACGAAGTCCCGTTTGTGCCAGATTGCCTTCGCTCAACGGCGTATTCAGCGATGTTCTCACGTACACGTTCAGCCTTTGCGTAAAAATGGTAGGAGCAAACCGGCTGAACGCATTTCGCAGTAGGTCTAAGGGTTGGCTGGCTTTTTCACTCTCTCTTCTCGACTCGTATTTTTTATGCAAGGTCATCCAGCATCAACATTCCAAGAACGCTGGTACGAGAAGCGCACTGCAGGACATGATCTTGATTTCAGGCCTCCCTGTATCTGCTCTCTGCGTGTCCACCGCTGACTTAGCCGAGGAAAATCAGGAGACGAGACTTACTAGACCGGCGTGTATTAGAGACACAGCATGGCTAAATGTTTACTTCACATACGCTTACCTACGCATGTGCGCTGCTGGGGGGCTGATTGACATCACTTCTCCAGAGAGGTTCAAATATGCTAGCAGTCTCCACTCCATTGCTGAAGCCACGTCCGTTCCATAGAAACCCACTTTGTCAACTGTCCTGAACTGCGCGGCAAACTGCGTCGTGGAGGACGATGAACTGAGTCAGCCGGCTTCCCGCAATATGTACTGTAGAACCAACTCTTGCCTCGAAATTGCGCCGCGGCGTTCATCCGTTGTAACCGTCTACTAATTCTGCAAGTCCATATTCTTGAATGCTCTGGTGGCACATGCTCATTAACTCTCACATGGTAGAGTTAAAATCAAACTTGTTCTGGGTCGGCGCTGGTAAGCCCTGTTGAGATCACCTTTCAGTGATATTTGGTCCACCGCTGTTTTGATGGTCATTAAATATTGATGTCGTCCCCAAAGAGTAGGAAATTCAACGTCAAACCCGCTAGAGTTTATATGAACATGAAGAATATTCTTAGTCTTAGTACCGAGCCTTGAGGGGCGACTCTGTCGGGTAGGAGAGGATGTTTGGAACCCGCACATTTCAGCTCTGTTGAAAAAGGAATCAATCCTGCCTAGGATAGAGTTAGCCATCCCGCAGTACTGAAAGTTGTGAAGAAGAATCCGGTGAACAAGACGATAAATTCTTACTAGAAATTTATGTACGCAGTGTCGACTCCTTCTCTAGAATCAGCGGATTTTGTCTAGCTAGCACGGGATAGAAGAATATTTGTGGCACATGAGTTGTTTAAGCGGAATTCATGCCTTTCTTGAATGATGGCATGGCATCTCTCACAATATCTTCTAAGTGCAACTGCAGCGACAGATTCCATGGAAGTAACAAGTGCAAGTAGAAGAGTAATCAGGCGGTATTTTACGGGCACTGCACGATTTTCTCCCTTGCAAATGTGGTTGATGAATCCACGATTCCATAATGCATCTTGTCGAGACGGCGATGGAGATATTGAGATAATGGTTCAGCCATGCTCCCGTACCATCCTGGAGGCAGCTGTATGATGTCCCCAAACTAATTAACTTGACCCATTAACATTTCCAGTTTCGCAGTCTGCTATATGTCACGTATAATACGGTGCTAATCATCAAATTCAGAAAGCCAATTGCTCCGAGATTGCTCACAGAAACTTCCATGTAACAGAAAACCAGACATCGTAATAAATAAAACAGAACCGTTTCATTCTACTGGGACTTGCCAGTATCACACATTTGCTAGCCCGATCAGGATCAGGACCTAAAAACTATGGACAAAATCAGCTTGTAGTAAAAACCAGTCGTTGGTCTGCGCTCAACTGTTGCTTCTCCCACTAGGAACAACCTAAACCTAGATCTGTTTCTAGCCATGGACATATCATTGCCTAAAGCGCAATCGGTGTTGACATACTAAATATACTCACATAATAATCCTACGGTTGTTAGTAGGGCTTTATGGTCAAAATTAAACGGTTCATCTTGAATTAATATGTCCTCCCTTGACAAAACTAAACCGTTTTTCATTTGCTGTCCTGCTAGCTAATTCAAACCAGTCCACTTCTTTGCTGTGCATAATCAATTCATTTCTCGTGCATTCTATAATGAAATCAAGCAATGTTTATAACCCCGTCTTCTGGTGTGAGAAAGCATTCAACTAAATTAGGCAACTGAATTCATATCCCCATCTTTACTCAAATATTGGCCCAATATTCTACAAATTATCTGAGAACAAATGCTTTTTATTTTATATTGTTGTATCAAGGTATGAGCAAACGAGTGATTTGAATTGCTACGATAAGTAAATTTCTGAGTAAACTGTGTGCCTAGTTAGCATTATAGGTGTTAGGAGCTGGTCAAGCAGTTGATGCATACAGAAGAAAACTCGGTTCCTCCCACCAATCCAGCATCCACCAAAACCAGACTACTGATTCTGTTTACACCAGCGAGTCCTTCAACCATCATTTCCTCACATTCTGCAACGGCGCTAAAGAAACAACTTGGATAATTTGCATCCTCTTTACCAAGTACAAACTCTTCATGGTGGATATCAAGTTCAGTAGTCTACTACAGCTTGATTCTTACCTCATATTCTCCTACAATGGGGGACATTTGACTGGGTGCTTCTTTCGCCTAAGTTTGTTTGTCTACCATGAAATGAGGCGTAATCTGCCACATGAACTCCTTATCATTATTGACAGCCCTACGTTCTATGTTAGATTTTTCAGTTTTGGCCGGAGTAGGCCAATTTTCTATAGGGATAGTCCGAGTTGTCCAAACTGTGATGGATTACACGGCCAGATGGTGCTACTCGTTCTAGCAGTGAGTTGCGTGGAAATGAGTCCCCTGGAAAGTGCACGACGGGTAGCCTTATTGCTGTATCTCAATTGAACCGTATTTTCAACTTTAGAATTTTGTACAAGTTTAACCTTTAAAATAGTTTAGAAACTTCATTTCATCATTACATTGTGCAACCTGACCAGCAGTTTATTTCAGTCGATCCCACAGTACAAATTGATCCCATCAACCCATAGAGCTGTAAAATGCTATCCCAACTTGTGTTTTCTCGGCAACCAACATAAAACAAGTGAACAAAGCGCTGTCCCAGTTGCATTTCATTTTACCATTTGTACTACCCGGATTCCACATAACGCAAAAATAAACGGCGTATTTCCAAAGTTACAACCGGCTCTTCTACGCATGTCTAAATGTAATCGTAATTTCACCAAAGCGCCTTTCCTTTTATCATCATGGTTATGTAAATTATTGCCAATCAACGGATTATCTAATCACTGCTTTTTATCCGTAACGCTGTTTTCCCATTTTTCCCCTGTACCTCGCACTGTCGACGATCACACTACTTATGTAATATTTATAACTCTAGGCAGCTGGAGGCG